TAAAATTTTATTTTATTGTAAATACACAAGCGAGGAACGCACAGATATATTAGTGTCTATTCATATAATGAACTAATCATGGACAAAAAGTAATCATGTAGTCAGCTTTAGTACATGTAAATGTGCTAGTTTGATCATCATAAGCATAACTATATGCTTGAGGACACAAATGTTTCAATTGTCAAAAAATATCTGGTTGGTTAGCAAGTTTGTGGAGAACCATATGGACCAGTACAACAATATTGTGGTTGTTGAAATGCTACACAAGCACTTTTGCACCCAATGATACCACCACTGCTAACTCATTTGGGCATCCTCGTTTATTGATATCTATAGAACAACTTGTTGTGTTGCAGTCACCTATGTTTAGAGTTTTAATAGAGACTGGTAGATTAAAACCATCTACTAAGTTTATATCATAAAAGTCTTTTCCTCCATACCCTGCTAATGTGAATTTTAAAAGGGTTGCGGGTGGAATTGCACTCTTACCATTGCAAACTACTTTGCTAGAATCACAATCTCCGCTAAGACAAGTGAATTTTCCCTTATTTTTTGAGAAATAATATCTTGCCCATATTTATCCTAACCATGAATTATGTACATCAAGTCATGATGAAGCTTGTGATGCTAATTCAAATCGAGTTGACAATTGTCCTCTTTTGCTTGTAAGTGTAGCTGACCAAATTGTGTAAGGACAAATATTCTTTATTATAAATTTGGTCGCATGAGATCCTGCAATACTACATTTAACTTTTATAAGTATAAGAATCAACATTAATATCATCTTATATAAAATAAAAAATAAAAATGAGTCACAAGATTTCTCCAATCTTAACAAAATGTCTCAGTTTAGGCCTTAGAAACAGAGAAACCTATGATAGGAATATTTTTCCCTTTAATGGGTTCTACCTTGTATGAATCTAAATAAGTTCAATTGGTGAATTCACGTTACTAGATTATACCAACAAAAAAATAGAAATAATATTCGCTCGTTCTCTCTGACTATATTTAGAAAAGATTAGCATGACTTGAACACTTGCAACCAATCTTGAAATCATTGTTTTGTGTAATTCAGAGCTTCAAGGGATTGACTAATTATATATGTACTTATCAAAAAGCTAGAAGGAATGCATGTACGGTTAAAATTACCATAGAAGAAGAACAAAAAGATAACTTTGATGAGAATTTTTACTCTCATTTTAATGTATATATCAAAGATTTTTATTCATGTATAAAATAAAAAAAATGCATCCCTTGGATCTTTTATAACAAACAAAGGAATAGTAACATCATTTTAGTAGTCAACCATTTCTTTGACAAAGGGAAATTGCAATAAATGTGAAATTATCATATCTTTTAAGAGTATTTTAGGGAAATATTAAAGATATCGACTTCTAAAGAGATAGTTGAAGTCATAATTGTCAAGATTATCTAAGTGATGTGAGGTAAAAAAATGCATATAATCTATCCATTATTTGTCTCACATTTAGTTCTTTTATCGTCTCTTTGAGCATTGATTTTATGGATTATACTTAAGTTAGGTGATTTTGATGTGTAGGATTAAAACGGTGGGAAGTTGAAGAAATTTGAAGTAAGAACGAATAAAAAACAACAAATTATATAAGAAAATCAAGCAGATAACTTAATGGATTGAAATTAATATTGGCATCAATCATTAAAACTATATATAAGAAGCACAAAATAATTATAAAATGACAATTGATGTTAAATTAAATGTTATGTCCAGCTAAATTACAAGAATTTCACTCTTTCTGTAGTATTTTTATTGTTTTATTTATTTATTTTAGGGAAAAGGGTCTGATAAATACTTCAACTTTGGTCGAAATTGTTGTTACGATACCAAACTTTGGAAAGGACCTTTTACCCCTAGTACTATTTAATAGTGTATTTTTAAAGGTATATATGTGTCTATGTGGACAGCATAAATATTGCATCATTTTAAATAGTAATGTGTCCACGTGGGCACATATATACCTTTAAAATACACTATTAAATAGTGCAAGGGGGTAAATGGTCCTCCATAAAGTTTGGTATTGTAACAGCAATGTCGGCCAAAGTTGAAGTATTTTTCAGACCCTTTTCCCTTTATTTTATTTACCATAGTTTAAGTAAGATTTAGATAAGGTAAAAATATTATGTATAACTTACCTAAATCACATAGTGTAAAGAGTAAATTACATCATATCCCTACCTTTTTTCTAATTACAGTAATCCCTTAAAATTTGTACCTTCCGGATACATAAGTCATCATTTAGATACATTAATTCTAATACAAGAAAAATCTTTTTGTTGCACTTAAAAGGGAATAAAAACTGAAAATTAATTAAATTCATAAATTATTCTTATGTTTCTTCTTACTCTCAATCATACAGAGGCAAATCCTAATAGAACGAAGAAACCTTTATGATTTGATTCAAAATTTCAAAGTACTTCTCTCTCTCATACCGACGGCGTATGTTAGCTAAACCTACGCTGGTGGTGTCACCATGGCAAGAGGACGGGGAAGAGGAAAAGGAAGACCAAGACGAGAAACTATTCTCACTTTGGGTAGCGCTAATGGGGGAAGAAGGAAGTAACCTCTATTGTCACACCTGCTAGAGGAACGCTAACTGATCCCACACCGATCTATGCAACTGAAGGGGCCAACCAACTTCACTTGAGTACGAGAGCTACTACTAGCAAGACAGAACCAGTAACTATTATTGTGCAACAGGAAGGTGAGGTGAGTATTAATTAAACTGGGGCTCCCCCTGTTACAACCACAGAGAAAAGTAAAGATCTGATTGAATCATGGGCTAATCTATTTGCTAAGAATAGATCGGTTACAAATGGTATGGCTCTGTCTTATATCCCTCCTCAAGTAATTGATGGAAAATCAGTCATACAGTTAGATAAAACAGAGGTGGACAGGGAAACTGCAAAATGGAAGTGTGCTATGATAGTGTATGTCCTGGGTGAGTCTCCAGGATACAATACCATGCATAGATATATTAGCCAGACCTGGGCAGAGGTAGTGGCGCCTGAAATACTCATGCATGAGGAGGGGTATTTCATAGTGCGGTTCCAATCTGTGGAAGATATGCAAGCTGTTATGTTTTTTGGGCCGTATTCTATAAACAATAAACCCCTAATTTTAAAGAACTAGATAGAGTATTTTGATTTTGATAAGGAATTCCCTACAAAAATCCCCATTTGGGTAAAATTTCCCAACCTACCCATGAACTGCTGGGGTTGTGATTCACTAAGCAGGATTGCAAGTGCTATTGGAATTCCAATGTTTGCAGACGAGTGCACGACTAAGCAGACGAAGTTTCTTTTGCTAGAATGTTGGTTGAGGTGGATGTTACAAAGCCACTACCTGAGGAAATCAATGTTATGGATCCAACTGGGAAAACAATAGTGCAGGGAGTGAAATATGACTGGAAGCCTGTTTTCTGCCAAAAATGCCAAGTAGTGGGTCATGTATGCCTCCCTGAGCAGGCTATAAGAAGCAGAAGATCCCCGAAAAAGGTAGTGCAGAAGTGGATTTCAAAGGAGGTAGTGAAGCCAGTTGTAACAACCGCGAAGGAGGTACCTAGACAAGAAACCTCCCCTATAGCTGGACCATCTGGAGTAATTACATCTCTACAACCTAGTCCAAACCTAACTTTGGAAAACTTTCCTATGCTACAGCCTACCCCTGTTAGGAACGGGTTCAGTCCACTGAGTATGCTATGGGATGAAGGAGATACTATACCTCCTGATAAAGGAGGCCAACCTATAACGCAATGACTTGATTATTTTGGAATGTCAGGGGTGTAAATAAGAGATACAAGCAGAAGGAGATTTATCATGTTATCAGGAATAAACATATCTTTTTGGCAGGTTTGGTAGAAACTAGAGTAAAATCTCATAGAGCAAATATGATTAGTAATAACATAGCATCTAAGTGGGGCTTTTTACACAATTATCAACATGCTAATAATGGCAGAATATGGCTTCTTTGGGATACATGCAAGTATAGAGTTACTATGATCCATGCAGGGGACTAACTGATACATTGTTACATTGATGAGATAGGTACATATATGAATTGTTACATAACTGTGGTGTATGGTTACAACACTGGCGATAAGAGGAAAGAATTGTGGACTAACCTCAGAGACTTGGCTATAGGAATGACAACCCCTTGGCTTATTTGTGGAGATTTCAATGCTCTTTTGTACCCAGAAGATAGGCTTTATGGTAATCCAGTTTAGCCTACAGAAATTGCAGATTTCTCCAACTGTTTACATGATATATCTCTTAATGAATTGTCTTGGAAAGGTGATACTTGGACAAACAAGCAGAAGGGTTCAGATAGAATCTGCAGTAGAATTGACAAGGCACTTGGAAATTTTGAATGGATGATACAATAGGGTCACGTAGTTCTCAATTATGGCTTGCCAAACATATCGGATCATGCTCCTATGATGCTTAACATGACTACTCAACCAAGTTCTAAGCCTCCTTTTAGATTTTTCAACGTATGGGTTGAACACTCCTCCTTCCTGTCGTTGGTGGAGAAGGAATGGCAAAAGAGGAAAGCTATAGGGCACATGAAGAATATATGGATACACTTGAGGAGTCTCAAACAAAAATTTGCAAAGCTTAATCAAAAGGAGTTCAAAGCAGTTACCCAGAGATTGAGCAAGGCCAAGATTGAGCTAGTTAATATACATGAGCAAATGGTGCTACAATGCACTGATGGATTGCAGAATCAGGAGAAAAACATTCTTAAGTACATCGAAAAGTGGTCAGAAATTGAGGAGGGCATACTGAAGCAGAAATCCAGGGCATAATGGATTAAACTTGATGATACGAATTCAAACTATTGCTCAGCTGTCATTAAGGAGAGGATTCATAGAAAGCAAATGAATGATCTTACATCCTTAAATGGTACTAAGCTACTTACACAAGAAGACATCAAGTAAGAAGTGGTACAGTTCTACCAGAGTCTAATGGGATCATCCACGGTCAATCTTTTAGCAGTTAATAAGCTTGTCATGAGAGCAGGGCCTACCCTTTCGCATCAGCAAAGGATAGAAATGTGTGCCACTGTGACAGAGCTTGAAATCATCAATAGTTTGAAGGCAATTGGAGAAGACAAGGCCCCTGGTATTGACAGCTACAATGTGGTTTTTTTACAAAAAAGCTTGGCACATTATTAAAGAGGATGTTATTACTGCTGTACAATATTTCTTTATCACATGGAAGATATATCGGAACATTAATTGTACTGCAGTTACTCGTGTACCTAAAGTTTCCAGCCCAATGAACATCAAAGAGTACATACCAATAGCCTGCTGCACTGTATTGTATAAAATTATTGGGAAAATATTGGCTACTAGATTACAAAAAGTTATCTCTACCATAATCAATCCCACTCAGGCAGGTTTTGTTCTTGGTCGAAGAATTGGAGATAATATCATCATGGCCCATGAGATTGTAAAATCTTATACTAGGAAACATGTATCACCTAGGTGCATGATCAAAATTGATTTACAAAAGGCGTATGATAGTGTGGAATGGATATATCTGGAGCAGGTGATGCAAGAGTTGAATTTTCCCAATCAATTCATCTCTTGGACTATGAAATGTGTGAAAATTGTTAGTTACTCCATACTTGTAAATGGGTAACCAACAGAACCATTTCCAGCCGCAAAGGGTTTAAGACAGGGGGACCCAATGTCACCATTCCTTTTCGCGATCGCTATGGAGTACCTCAGTAGATGTCTCACCACTCTTGTAGGAGTAAAGCAGTTTAAATTCCGTTCGAGATGTGCTAAACTCCAAATCACTCATCTATGCTTTGCAGATGATCTACTCATGTTTTCTCGAGGTGATAACACAACTGTCCAAGCTATGATGGAATGTTCTTGACTATTCTCTGGGGCTTCAGATCTTCAAGTTAACATGGGGAAAAGCTGCATATATTTTGGATGGGTAACTTCACAAGAAAAGGAACAGATCTTATATAGTACTGGCTTCACCTGTGGAGATCTCTCATTCAAATACCTCGGAGTCCCCCTGTCCACCAAGAAGATCTCTTTAATCCAGTGGCACCCACTGATCACAAAGATGATAGCTAGAATTTCATCCTGGACTTCAAAGAAACTCTCCTATGCTGGCAGAACACAACTTGTCCAATCTATGCTATTTGGCATCCAAGCATACTTGTCTCAAGCGTGTTGGATGAGGTTACCTACACAAGCGTGTTGGATGATACGGAAAATAATTGAAGCTAAAACTACATTTGACCAATTCCAGGTGGATGAATCAAGCAGGCGCAATCTAACAAGGCAATTGTACATGCATTTGCTAAACCCAAAACCTAGAGTAATATGGAGGAACTTAATGTACAAAAATGCAACTAGGCCAAGAGCAAGATTTACACTGTGGTTGCAAGTGCAGAATAAATTGTTGACTACAGATAGACTTATCAAGTGGCGGATATCTCTGTCTTCAATATTCCCCCTATGCACTTTGCACAATGAGTCTAAGGATCATATTTTCACTTCTTGTGTTTATGGAGCAGAAATCTAGAGAATAATGCAGCAGTGGATCCAAGCCAAGCCAATTCAATCCCTGTCATAGGACCAACATCTTACAAAAGTGCTAAGGTGTGTGAAGGGAAAGACACAAGCAACTCAAGTCTTTAAAATAGTCTACACAGAGTTTGTACACTGTTTGTGGATGAGAGAAATCTGAGAATTTTTGGAAAAAAGAGTAGAGAGTCAAATGCCATTGCTAAAGAGATAGCTTTTGTTTGTAGTGTTCGAGCCCCACCTAGGATTAATGCTCTCATGTCTACTTTCAGATTTAGTTGTGACTAAGTAGGAGCTCTTTGATGTATTGGATAGCTAACTGTGTGTAGTTAGCTATGGATTTTGTAATCGTTTTACATTGGTGAATAATGAAACAATTAGTTACCAAAAAAAAAGGATACAAAAGTGATGAAATTGTTGTTGGACAAACAATATCCTTTTGAATCTTCAAGTTCATCGAAGATTCTTTCAATTTTGATTCAAGATTATCAAAAAAATTGAGATTCAACATTCTTTCTTCTGCCAGTTCAGCGAATATCCTTTCAATTTTGATTCAAAATTATTGAAAATTTTGAGATTCAAAATTCTTATCTTAGTTTATTGAAGATCCTTTCAATTTTGATTCAAAATTGTCGAAAATTTTGAGAAGATACATCATGAATATCTTTGCTACTGAGCATTTTACTATTTATGTATCTTGTTTAAATTGATAAGTATTGTATTTATACTAGATACACTAAATAAATAATTGTTGCCCATAAGATGTTAGATTTGAGATCGACACATTATTGTGTGGTAGTTGCTATGTAATTGATACATTTAATATAAATTCAAATATACGTATCATACCTAAAAATAGTGCATGATACATTACTATTTTATGTATCTCATTTAAATTGATAAGTATTGTATTGTTTGTCTTGAAAGATATGTATAACTTACATAATGTATCATTTTATAGTTGATAGTAATGTATTTGATACAATAAGGTTGTGAAAGAATGATGTATGTCAGCTGAAATAAAGTGTATCTATAAATGTATCACAATAAATAAGAATTGAGTTATCAATTTAGATACATGAACAAACACAATCCATTAAAGAAATTTGATTATGAAAAAACACTAAGAAAAAAGAGGAAAATATTAGACTGTATGAAATTTTGGTGAAATTGAAACTAATATTTTTATGAGACAATGGGAAGATTAAATAATAATACAAGAATCCTAGTCAGTTTCAATGAGTGATTAGTTGTTAGAGTCTATAACCAACTCAAATTATGGAAAATTTACAAAATTGCAACTAATAAAAAATCAGCCTAAAGTTAATTAAGGATGTATTTTCAACAAACCCATTTAGTTGTATAGGATTATGTTAAAGAGGAAATATTCCTCTTTTAATTCAATTTTTACTATTATTGAACGTGATTAGTAAGGACAAAATATGAAAAAGAAACGAGGTCGGTGTCTGGTATTATGGAAAGCATTTTTCGTAAAATATTTTTAATTTTTTTTTTATGTTTGGTCAGTTTAAATTTTTTGAAAATATTTTTAATTTTTTTTTTTATGTTTTGTTAGTTTAAACTTTTTGAAAATCAAATTTGGATATAGATTTTGTAACTGCTAAGAATTTGAAGTGAATTTAGAGAGAGAAAATAGGAGTGGTGAACGACTGATGTATGTATCCGGTAGTTTTTAGAATTAGGAGAAAGAAGGGATTTAAGTAATATTTTAAAAAGGTAGGGGAAAATAGAGAATAAGGAAATTAAACTTGTGTATATAAGTGATTTATCCATTTATTTTAAAGTTTAGGACTTGTAATATAGTTCAAATAAGGAAAGATTTAAGACACAAAATTTTTGTCAATTTTAAAGTACTAAATATTGGGAATTCTTAATTATTACAAATAATTAAAGATATAATAGTTATAATTTTAATTAATTTTAAATTACTAAATATTAAGAAAATAATTAACTATACACAAGAAGAACAAAATTATTAAATTTTTCTAGCAATTATGGTAAAATAATTGTTATATCTATTTAAATGATAAGAATTTAATAAAGGAGAGTTAAAAATTTATGGCTTAAGTCACTGACGATCCCTTAAAGTTGTCCACATAATTCACTTAGACACCTTGACTAGGGCTAGTACCTATTGAACACCTAAAATATTCAAAACGTGTACTTATTAAACACAAAATATTGATGTGACAAAAAACGTGTTCTTCATATTCGATGGGCGGGTGAAGATTTCCAATTGACATTTTTCTTTTTCTTTTTTCTGAAAAAAATACACTTTTTAACTTTATTGACACTTGATATTAATAAATGACTATTCTTCCCCAGGATATTTCCTCAACTATTTCCATCCATCCATTATCATTTCACCATCTCTATACATACCCCCCATGCCACCCCACCCCTCCAACTTTCTCTCTTTTTCGCATCCTCTCCAATTATTTTTGTATTTTTTCCTCAATATTTCAGCAAAACTCCATTTATTCCAATGAAAAAAATAAATCGATTCTTTTTCTGGCAAAGTTTGTTATTGTTTTTTGTAATTGTAATAAATATTTATTAATCGAAAAAAGATAAAGGCAATGGGTATGATGATTTGATGATATCAGAATGAAAGGAGACTAGGTATTTAGCTTGGGTGCGCAACAATAGCGTACTACCGATGAAAAGGGTAAGGTCCAATGGAGAAGAAGAAAGGGGTGGGGAAATGATTTATTCGTGTGTTGGCATCGGCGGGAAGGGGAAATAGTCTCAACACGAAGAAGAAGAAGAAGAAGAAGATGGGAGGGTGAGCGACATTAATTAAAAGAATTAAATTTTATTTTCTTAAAATTCTTTTGGGATTATTTAAATAGAGTTTTTAAAAAATTGAATCCAACCGCCATGTGTCATTGTTTCATTGGTACACCTGCTAAGCATTTGCGTTTGAGCGACACGTAATTTTGTTTTTCAACTGATTATCATTTTATGTCTAATAGATATAACCTTCTTAAGGTTAAAATGTTCAATATGTACTAGCCCCAATTGAGGTGTCTAAATGAAATATGCAGACAACTTTAAAGAGCCGCATATGACTTAAGGCAGCAATCTATAATATTGGTGATACACACCTTAATACACATTAGTTATACATACATGAAAAAAAGTATATCAAACAAGATATTACTAATACACAAAATTAATAACATTATTTTACTAATACACTCTACTAAATGACCCTCTATACTCTCAACCAAACGACCCTAATACCAAATATAGTGTATAATATAACTAATGCTCACACTAATTATCTATAGATTGAACCAAACAAGATATTAAATATTAGACAAAGCTAATACATATATAATATATTATTTTTTTCTAATGCACTTTGCCAAATGAGAAATTTTAAATTATAATTTTTGACTTATTTTATCTTTAAAATAAATACTTAAAAACATTTTTTAAAATTTTATCCAAAATTAATAAAATTACTAAGAAACTAGTATTTGAACTCATTAGAAACGAGGAAAGGCTCAAAATAGTCCCTCATCTTTGGGTAAAGGCTCAAAGTCATCCTTGAGTTTTCACATGGAGTACTAATAGTCCCTCATGTTTGCAATATTAGTGCACTTTTGGTCCTCCTCCAAAATTTTGCCTATTTTTTAACATTGATTCTATCAATAACTTATGTATGATATGCTCAATCGTCATTCTATATATTTAGTAAAAATAATAAATCCATATGAGAGAATGTGAGAAGAAAAACATCTTGTTTTGTTAAGTAGAAATTGTATTGCAGGTAAAGTCGAGAAGTTCATCACGATAATTTCACGTGCAATAGTACAATTTTTTTCTTTTCTTCCAACGTCATATGTTAAGATGTTCTTAGTTTAGCTGCAGTAATATTTCTACTGAACATAACAATGCGTTCTTCTTATCACCTTCTCTCACATAGAGTTATTATTTCTACTAAATATATAAAAAGACGATTGAACATTCCTTACATAAAATTGTGGACAAAATTAATGTTAAAAAATAGGCAAAAAATTTTAGGAGGACCAAAAGTGCACCAATATTGCAAACATGAGGGACTATTAGTGCTCCATGTGAAAACTCAAGGATGACTTTGAGCCTTAATCCAAA